TCCAAGGTGACAATGAGATAAATGGAAAATTCTTGCACTAAGTCTGGCACTGCTCACAGTACAACACAGCAGCAGAGACACGTTTAACACAACAGTTGGGAGGAGAAAACTCACCGAGCACCCTGATGCTGAAGGCAGGAGCAAGAGCTGGGTAACTAAAGGGAATGAACTAAATCCACCAACAGGAACCACCACATTTGAAGTGGCAGAAAAACCATGGAATTTAGTGAACTGGAGCCTGAATAAACTCTGTCGCATTACCCACCATCAACCAACCTGGATTCAGGTAGGAGAGGTGAATGAACAGGCGATGAGGAAGACAGGGAATGGAAATCCTTCTTACAGGAGAATGTTAGAAGGATCTGCTTTCTTTAGCAAAACAAAGGCCAGGAGGAGCTGTGACTGATGTCCAGAAAAACATGCCAAGGACAAGGAGACAAAGGGTCAGACATAGCAGAGAAGGATTTTTCAAGATAAAAATATAACGAAGACAATTGAATTAATGAATGCAAGTTCAGCTTGAAAGTGAGTTTTCTAATCATTCAAGAAGTAGAAATCTGGAGAAGTTTCTGATTTCTCCCAGCAGGAGGAACCCGAGTGTGTGTGCACACTCAGTGAGTAACAGGAGGAAACAACCTGTATTTAATAAAAAGTTGGACTGACTTATGAACTAGAGTATAGTATCTGGTTGCTAGTGATGGCAGGAGACTTGACTTCAGAATTTCTTCCAAATAATCTACATTATCTTTGTCATAAATGTCCAGCCTGTTGCCCCCAAACTGAGCACAGCACTTTGTTGGCTGAAGTGGATCTGCCAGAACCAGTCACCTCTCCCAGTCTCACCCTGTTTTGGTTCCCGATCCAAGCTGGAGATCATCTTCCATTGCATGGTCCCCAAACCACCCTAGGAGTTATACTTCTCCACTGCCACAGACAGAAAATACCATTGGGTTTGCAAATAGGGAGCAGTTTTAAAGGCATGCAAATGCAGAGGCCCCATTAATTTCTTCAGGTTACTTTAAAGTCTAACTTTCTGTATAACCCGCATCCTGAGCAGTGAGACTCATATCTGTCATATACATCAAAAGTGAAAATTCACAGTGGAGTGTTTTGTTTGAACACGGCATCTTCCCTCTCTGTTAAAAACACTCCTCTTTGGCTTTCTGCTCCATTTGAGAAAGGAAACCAGGTGGTTGTGCCACGCTCTTAGAGCAGGAGAAAGAGACTCTGCACTCAGTTCTGCATTTGTGGGAGAAATTGTTCCATGGTTCGCTAATTGGTCCTCAAGAAAGGTCCGGATCAGGGAAAACTTGCAGCTGCCACAGAGTGACATATTATGATGGATAAGCAGCAATCACACAAGTAATGGCTGTCACTTTGTAGGTGAATCGTATTCAAACTGTGCCTCAAGAGCCCTGAACGCGGAGCTGTACCTCTACAAGAAGAAATTACAGCCCCTGCCTCCCAACTGCTGGGGGGTGACAGAACGTAGAACACCCAGGGCCCGGCAACCCAGTTGGAAAAGGTCATAAAAACACTCCTCTGGCAATAAATTAAAAGCCAGAAAAATTCAAACAGAAAATATGGCATATTTTTCCTTGCTCAATGGGAACTTCAGTCATTTAAAAAATTAAAATGAGAGAAAGCAGAGTGTTGTTATCTTCTCACAACTTCAGGAGGACCCTGCTCTGTCGGAAAGTATGCTCTAGTCAAGCCAGCTGAGCAAATAGAGGTGATGTGACCTTCATTGCATTATATGAAAGAGGTTTATTCATCTTTTCAGGCTTTAAAATTTACGGGTCACATTGTGGGAAAATAAAATTTGCTACATGAGAATCCTAAACCTGACATCGTCCCTCATCAGACACCTACCATCAGCCCAGCCTCGTCCCGGGGAGAGGAATTAGCAGCACGTCCTTTCTAACCAGCCTTGTGCAGCCGGAAGAAAGTATCATGGGCGAAGCAAAAGCCTCCAGAGCTCCTCAGTCAGCACAAGCCCTGCCAGTGCAGAGCCCTTCATCTCTTTAGCACAAGAGGAAATAGCCTCAAGTTGGGTCAGGGGAGGGTTAGGATGGAGATTGGGGAAAATTCCCCCCTGGAAAGGGTTGTGAAGCCTTGGCAGAGGCTGCCCAGGGCAGTGGTGGAGTCGCCATCCCTGGAGGGATTGAAAAGCCGGGCAGACGTGGTGCTGAGGGACACGGGTCAGTGGTGGGTCCATGGTTGGACTCCATGAGCTGAAAGGTCCCTTCCAACCCAAATTCCATGATTCTGTGATGCCTGTATTCTCAGGTGCTCTGCAGAGGACAGGTTAAGTCTGGGCATATGCAGAAGGACAACATCAGCCAACAGAATTTGGGACCCTCTTTCCACTATTCATCTTTAGTCTGCACAGCAGCTCTTTCTGGACTATCTCTTCAAAAATCATCTGAAAACTGATTTCAAATGCAATCTTGTGCCTTCAAACAGCAGCTCGATAAACTGCTTTTTCTCCTCCAAAAGCCTCCCTATGACCCAGATACAGACATTTCTGCAGAGCAGACTGAGACAAAACACTGGGAACTGAGTTGGTCCGGCATCAGATATCAGGTGTATTACCAGAATTATTTATTTCTCTGTAGCAGAGTCCCATTAGCAGTAAGAGCTGAAGGCGCTCTGGAAGTACCAGCTGCAGGCACAGCACCAGGTCCCTACACCTAACAGAAGCTCAGCAGATGCCTCCACCCCTACACTGATAAGGTTGGTCTTTAGCTCAGGGTTATGGGTTAGGCTTAAAGAACACACCATCAGTAGTTCCTGCTCTCTAAGAGCTGTATAAAATTATAGAAGGAATGGGACAGCAGCATTGTGAACTTAAACTGTGCTGCCCAAGGGCCACTAGGTCATCTCCACTCTGCAGTGGTCTTGCTCAGTTTACCAGCCCACTGATAGTTGTCCAAGGACATGAAATCACCCCTGGAAACAGCAGGTAAATGCCATTTCTGAGATGGGTCTCTTCCCCAGCTAATTCTCTACTCAGATGCTAAGTATTTTCCTGTTGTCCTGCACTTATTCCCCAAGAGGCACATGCTGGGAAGATGGAGAGGGCAGCCCTCAGCAGGAGTGAGGTGTCCCAGCCTGGCTCTCACCGAAGACACTCTCAGCTTCAGTCCCACGGTTTGCTCTCACTCATCTCTCTGGAGACTGAATCTTCCACATGAGCTGCAAGTCCTGGCAGGTGCCCAGCACAATTCCACTAAAATGAGGGAGTATCACTGACTGGAGAGGTCATCAGCCAGCCCCGGCGCTGAGCACTCCCCCAGAGCTGCAGGACAATCACTTGCATCCCAAAGCTGGTCTGCTCTGGGGCCACACCACCCACCACAGAAGTTCCAGGCACCACCCCGCTCCCAGTGGGGCAGGGCAGGAGCTAAGGAAGAGGCCAGCAGACCATTTCCTGAGACAAGACCAAGGTTTCCTGGGCCACTGAACCTCGAGGAACAAGAAAACTCTGCAAATGGATGATGGGGTCTAACAGATGGAAAGAAGGATCGAGAGAGCAGTGATTTCCCAAACGAGGGACCGGGAAGCCCCTGACTACACTCAGTTTTGTCTCTGAGGGACAGAAGAGCTATGCAAATGAGAAGCGCAAGAAATACGAATGTGCTTTTCAGTGATCTAGGTCTAAGATGGACAAATCTCCAGGAGACTCCAACAGCGGACCACATCTGAGCCAGTCTCCTGAAGTGGAAAGGGTTTGCCATCTCCCTCCCAAAAGGTCTTACTCTAAAACCAAGAAAGAAAAGCCCTCATTTTACACCTGGGTGAGCAGCCAAGAGCCAAGTTCGGAGACCACCAGGCCAGCACCCTCATGTAATACACAGGTCTGGTACATTGTCCTGTCATACAGGAAGGAACCTTCACACAGGCCCTTCATACTGACAACAGCTTCTGCCTCTCAGCAGTGGCTTCCCGCATCTCCTAGGAGACACGGCCTGCAGAAAGCCCACTCACCCAAAGGATCTGGCAACTCTACCAGAAACTCGGGAACAAACCCAGGAAGTTAACCATAGTCAGAGGATGAGCCAAGGCAACACCACTCAAAGACTGAGAGGGGACCTCATTCATGCTGAGCAATATCTAAAGGGTGGCTGGCAAGAGGATGGGGCCAGACTCTTCCCAGTGGTGCCTGGTGACATGACAAGGGGCAACGGGCACAAACTGGGACATGGGAAATTTCATCTCAACATGAGGAAAAACTTCTTTACTGTGAGGGTTTGGAGTCTCCTTCTCTGGAGATTTTCTAACCTGCCTGGACTTGTTCCTGTCCAACCTGCTCGGGGTGACCCTGCTCTAGCAGGGGTGGACGTGATGGTCTCCAGAGGTCCCTCCAGTTCCTGCCATGCTGTGATTCTGTGACTTCAAACTTTGGCACAGACCACCATACACGAGCCAGGGACTTTATGGACTATCCAGTGCCACCTGCCCCTTTCTGATGTCCCACAGTGCCGCATGAGAAGACTCAGGGGGATTCTATGCGGGGGCTGCATAATATGCACCGATCATTAGCTCAGCCCACCCTTCTCATGCAACAGCAGCGTCCCCAGTCAGATCCTCCTTCTCTCCCAAAGGCTTGTACATGGCACCCAGCGTATTCCCAAGCTCCTTCAGGGCTTCCCACCACTCCCAGAAAAAATGCATTTATTTTTGTCCACCTTTTCCCTCCTCAGAGCACAGCAAACAGGAACTGAACTTCCCACCTCAGCCCCCTTGCGTTGCTTTTTTTACACTTCCATCTCACTCCTGATCTGCAGCAGCCATTCTCACCTCAGGTACGGAAAAGTAGGGAAAGGAGGTGAAAGCAGGGGAGGAAACAATCATTGTGTGTTTGTGATCAGTCAGGTCCAGAAGCCACTTGACCCAGAGAGATCAGTTTCCCCTACAACAACAGGTGAGCCTGGGAAGCAAATCAAGCAGGACTGAATGATTTCTGGCAGAGAGAGAACAGTAGGAGTGGTACAGACCTCTTCCTCCTCAATGCGAGCAGGTTCAATCAGCAGATTATTGGCTTGATCAAACGACACCCCCTGTTAGGACAGGAACCAGCAAAGAGGCATGCGGATTAGTGGAGCATAAACCAAACCCGCCACCACGACCACCACCACCACCCAACACACACCACTCTGACAGGTCTGGCCACGCACCGCCGGAGCAGACCCCTCTCACACCACTCCTGGTTGCCACCGACCAGCGAGAACCAGCGACAAGGTTGCTCCCAGGGCCACGCGGCGCAGAGTGCCCGCGCTCCTCGGCACAGCCAGCTGGAGAGTGCCATATGTTGCCTGCGTTGGCACTCTGAGGCTGCGACCACCAAGCTCGTTATTAGCTGATTGCAACCCCTCTGAACCCCGTTGTTCAGCAAAGGAAGGATGGGACAGCACGGGAGAAAAGCAGAAAGGGACCTCTGGTGCCACCCAGCTGCTGCTCAGGAACAAAGCAATGCCAAATCAAACTGCCTCGGTCCCTCCTCCAAAGGGAAGAGCCTCCGGTGGAGCCATGCATCCTGCCAGACACCCAGGGATCTGCTCCCAAACACAGGAAATTTTAGAATTTCTCTTGAAAACCAACTGCCTTTGCAAAAAAAAAACCCCTCTGGTTGAAGGATTAGGCCTCCTGCACACCCTGTCCTACCTCCTCCTCCAACACTTGTGTACAGCACCTCTTCCTGGAACCTCCCCTGCCCAGGGACACTGCTTCCCATGTTCCAGCTTCTGGCTCAGGAGGCAAACTAATAAATCTGCCGTCATGGAGCATGTGTCCAGCCCAGCCCCATGATAAGGAAACCTGGGATTTCCAGACAGAAGGCTTCACTGATAACCAAGGTAACTTTCTGACAGAGACACTAAACCCATGGTCCCAGTGTCTATGGAGACTTCACGAGTTTTGCCAATGGGTGAGTGCATCCTCAGCCCCGAGTCCCTGGCTGAAATAAGCTTTATGGGTGAGGGCATTTCCCAAGTATGGCAGGGCTTGGATGAAGGAGACTACGAAGGGAACTCTTGATGGCTCCACACACTCTTACAAGCAACATCAACTCCTTTTCATTCTGAAGAACTTCACAAACAGGAAGGAAACCCCAAGGCTCGTCCCCAGGGAGGAACAGAGGATCTGTACCAGCTCAGATACAGCATGGCAAGGGCCCACCTAGAGAAAGGCTCCGAAGCAAACCTGAGTGCCAGAACCTTCCCCTGAGCAACCTGAGCTTCAGCCTGAGGTGAAAACGATCCCAACAGTCTGAAGTGTTTGCGGTAACAGCAAGGACAGATTTTAGTCCAGCACCTTCTACTGGTTCAGAGACCCACATCTCAGCCATGAGATCTGTCAGTGTCAGACTACAATGGAGATTCAGCCACATCCTAACCCCCGCCTGTCAGATACCCCTCACAAAATCATCACCCCAACTTCAGTAAGACCCTCACACACAGTGTCCCTCATTCAGTGTGCTCCTACTCCACTGCGAGGATCTTCCTCAAGCAAGAACCTCTGTGTCCCCCAAACCAAATGCGACGATTCAGCTGAGCAGACCCAAGGACCTCCTGTCTCATCAGCATCACCAGAAAGGCCCATCATGGCCCCATGGCCCAAAGAACAAGTTCCCCTGAATCCCAACACACACTTCATCAGGCTCTATCTGCCCTGGGACAGGCCCAGGGTGGGACCAGCAGGAAGGGCACGCTCCTACTTGCTCTCACCACCTCTCGCGGCAGAAAGACAAGCAGAAGCAGCCTGAGATGAGATCCATCCAGGGAGAAAGCTCATCCTGTTGCAAAGGAGGTGCAAGAACCAGCAAGCAAGGAGGTGACTGAAATGGATGGAAGAACCTGTCAATGGTGGGACAAAGAGCTGTTCCTGCAGCACAGAACACAACATCACACATCATGGGGAAGGACAAGGACCTGGATACAGCACAAGGAGTCGCAGAAAAGCAACACGGCACAGCTCCTGGAAAACCGTATGAGCCCCAGAACCAACTCCAGCTCATCCACCCCCAGTGTGTCCTTCCTGAAGTACTGGAGTCTCTGGCCAGTGTTTCTGTTGGAGCCACATCACCCTGCACGGTAGTTCGAAGCAGCAGGAGGGCGGTCTGGGACCCCTATGACCTTCCCCCTCCCGACCAGACCTTACCTTCACCGATGGCTGGGCAGACAAAGCTCCATTCTTCCGGTCCTCCTCATCCCACACCTCCTCCTGGTCTGCAGGCTCTGTGTTGTTGTTGCAGCCTCCCAACTCCTCTTCCTCCTTGGGGACCCCCTCGCTGTTCAGCCCCTGCAGCAGGGCCACCACCGCCTCTGGCTTGGGCAATTTAGTTATCTTAAAGTGTTTCTTATAGTGAGGGGTGTCCTTGCGGATGAGCCGCTGCTTCTCCACTGGGAACGGTCGCTCTTCATCTTCATCTTCATCCTCACTCCGTATTAGCGTGTCTTCAGCAAAGTGTACAGTGGGCTGCAACGGCAAAGCCCCAGAAAGGTTTGAACCTCCGGTGACAGCCACGTCTGGGGGCAGTGGAGAACCTCCTGTCCCCCAGCCACCAAGACGGGCAAAGCCAGGGCTGCTGCTTTTGTGCTGAAGATGCAGGAATACAGGTTAAAATTTCACCATACTTGCCTTTTTCCACATCAGCTCCTTCAGCCAGACACATCTTCTGTCAGTTGCAGGGACTAAGGGCACTCAAACCCGTAACCCCGATGTTCCCATTGTCCCTGCCCAGCTCCCACTGTCCTTCCCAGTCCCCCATGGACCCAGCTCCCACCAACTGCCCCAATCTCTGCTCGCGCTTGGCTTCCACTGCTTGTCCTTGCCTCCAGTGATGCCCAGCTCACACTCTGTGCATCCATTTACCATTCTCTCTGAAACTGTCAAGTCCTTTCACTTTTTGTCATGACCCTGCTGCAGTTCCCAGGCTCCTACCTCATTGTATTCCACTTCCACATCTTCCTCTTCATGGCCAGCAGCTTCCTTGTGCTCCTCGTCCACTCTGGACTTTGCCTCCTTCTCCAGCTCCTGCATCTCAGGCACTTGCCCGTTTGGCCGACTCCTCTCTGCCTCCTCCTGCTGCTCCTCCGCCCTACAGTCAGCAGAGGCAGTGCTGTTGGAAAGGTGGGAGTCCTCGCTGCGGTTGGACGTGGCGCTCAGCCTCTTCTCCTGGGAAGGTGAGTGAAAAAGTCAGGATGGAAACCAAAGCAGCACGAGGTCGGGGACGACCCAGCACCAACAGAACCAGCTTCTTCTCCAGGCTGCCTTCCCTGCTGTGTCTCATCCAGGCCCACCCCTGTTCCACCATCTATGGAGGCATTTATTCTTAGCATCACGCCTGGGTGGCAAGATGCCTCCTCCGAGCACCCTGTTCCCATCGTTCTATTCTGGGAATATCCTTCTTCTCCTCTCCCTGTGTTATGAAAAGGTGGTACCAATGCACACAATTCCCCTTAGGTTGTTCTCTGTCTCCTGGTTGCAGCTCATGCTCTATCATCTCAGCGGCCCCAGCTGACACCTCAAGGCAGATTCCAGCCCGTGGAATCCAGGCAATCCTGTCCCTTCCAACCTTTCCCCAGCGGAAGTCCCTTCCACCCAGCTCACACACACACAGACACTGCCTCCCTCTTCCCCGAGTCTGCTACATGTCCTCCGTGGTTACCCGTTTCTTGGTGAACAGCACTCACTTCTGAGTGAGGAGAATTCAGGTCTGCATTGGGCTTTGCAGCGTGGGCCTCACTGCGCCGAACTTCAATCACCTTCTTCATCACCTTCAGCTCGCTGGGATGGGGGGTTGCTCTGCGCTGCAAGCCCTGCCCAAGAAAAACACTCAGAGTGGGAGGTTCAGCAGCACCTGCCATACCTCAGGACTAGATTAAATACCAGGAAAAATATCTCCACTGAAAGGGCTGTGAAGCCTTGGCAGAGGCTGCCCAGGGCAGTGGTGGAGTCGCCATCCCCGGAGGGATTGAAAAGCCGGGCAGACGTGGTGCTGAGGGACATGGGTCCGTGGTGGGACTCCAGGAGCTGAAGGGCCTTTCCAGCCCAGACAATTCCATGATTCTATGAGGACCGAAACACTTCAAATGACAATTTTTATCAGAGCAACAGAGTCCCAGCTGGACATGGCCCAAGGTCACACTGCAGGACCTGACCTGGGCCTCTCCGCTACTATGGCCTCAGTGGGGCAGACGACAGAAAAGGAGGCAGGTGCCACTTCTCCGAGCTCTCTCTCGGACATTGTCCTGCTCTCCATCTGGCAGAGGGAGCATGAGTTGTATATAGTTCTATAAATTGTGCTTCAGGATTGGTAAACGCAAAACCTTCAACACAGAAACCCCTGCAGGAACACACAGGTGGAGTATCTTCTTAATTGCTCTGGTGTGTCTTCATTTGTCTGACAAGCCCATATGCTACCAGAATTTGTGATGCTTAGCTAGTTCCATCCCAGCTACTATCCCAGTCATGAAAAACAGTATTCTAAAATTAATAACGATGTTAAAAATGATAAAAAACTCCCACAACACCTCCTAACGACAGTAGCGCTTCCATGCTGCAAGGACAGACACAAACACAATTTATTATAAGGATTCAGATCTCAAGAGAACCTCTCTCCACAAGACAAAAAGGGGGAAAAAAATCCTGCAGGAAATTTAAATCGGCAAAGTACTTGCTGGAAACTGAAACTTTTAACCTGCCCTTTGTATCTGCCACGGAAGGAAAACGATCTGCGGTGGTTTTTGAGGCTGTTTGCAAGGTTTGGCTACTTTAGGAAGGGAACACCCCCCAGCAGGGGCTTGTGTCTGGCTCCAGGCTCAGAGAGGTGAGGTTGCCGGCCAGGAGTCTGGCTGAGCACCTTTCCCCATCAAGGGGGCAACTAAAATCTTCTCCTGGCACCGCTCTGGCTGTGAGGGTCTCTGGGCTCCCTGAGCACTCCTGGGCAGGTTTTCAGTCAGAGCTCAGCTCCCAGGGACAGCCATCACACCATACACCTGCACAAGGGCTCTCAGGAACTCTCTGTTACACCAAACGCCCTTTGGGCTGCAAAAATATAGTACATGTGTGCAGCAGTGGAACATGGACACCGTAATGCCTCCCCATCTCAGGAAAAAAGTTTGGATTGTGCCTATGTTTCCATAGGGAGCTAAAAAGCCTCCAGAAACTCTTCCTCTTACCCTTCTCTCAGCTCCAGACTCTTCTTCATCATCTGCTTTGGGTTCATCCAGGAACTGAATCACACTGACTCTGTTTAAATTGGTGTCCGTCCAGCTCTCGTCCACGCTGTTCTGTAGAAGGTTCTCTGGGGAGGAAAGATAATACAGTGGGAGCTCCTTCTGAGCAAGCAGGGTTGTAGCCCTGGATTCAGGACGGTTCTCAACTCATGAGGGCACTTCTCTTCTATTGCACCAAACCACAGAGGCCATGAGGACAAAGGACGTAGCCCCCAGATCTTGTCACCTCTTCATGTTTCCCACCAGATCTACAGGAGCCTCTACAAAAGGACCCAAATGGTTCAGCTTGAGCACTCCTTACCCAAGGACTAAGGAAAAAGGCAGGATTATGCACAAATCAGAAGTATTGACAGAAGGATATCATCACAGCAGGAAGGAAACCTGACAACGAACCCCTTGGTCAACAGATCAAAGCAGAAGACCTGAAGACCAGGCTGCAGCTTCTTTACCATCTGGCAGAGATCCAAGTTCTCAGCTTTAACAATCTCTGCCTTGAGAAGTTGCCCCCAGCCATTCGGGAGCCCAGCTGTGCTGCAGGTATCACGGTAATGAAGAGGAGAGGAAGGTCCAAGGCTCCTCCAGAGCAGCCAGCGTTGGTAACCAGTCTCTTACCCAGGCTGGGAGAGGGCTGCTGAGGAAGCAGGTAACAAGTGAGAACTTTCTCTCCTGTCTTCTCATCATCCTCTGTTTGGAATTTCAGCATGGGCTGGGACTGATTCTCCGCCAGCCACAGGGCTTTCAGGTTGAGGTTTGTCAGAGCAAACGGCAAGTTCTGCAGCCTGTAAAAGAGCAGAAGAACTGATGGTTAAACTTACTGGTGATGGAGGAACTTCAGCCCAGCTGGAGTGCCTCACCTGCGCTGGAGAAGCACAGAGCCAAGCCACCGCGGAGAACCTCACTCTTACACACACCAAGGCAGGTGGTTCACGCTGTGTACAGCTCTGCAGCAGCCACAGACAGGACCCCAGTAATCCACCCCCAGCAGAGGACAACTCCCATCAACAATGTGAAAACGGAGAACTTTGAAGAGGGGTTTGAAGACAGAAAATTCTGCTTTCATGGACCAGTACACAGAGGTGTTCCAAACAAAGCTCTGCTTGGCTCCCCTCTGCTGCAAAACCACCCGCCTTAGCGAGCAGAACTGCAGCTAAACCCTGCAGAGCCTTCCAGAACAGATCACAGGTATTTGTACGCTGTGGGGTCATGCACATCATCAACAAGGCTGTAGCACCAACTGCCTGGGTACTGGTGACATGAAACCACAAAATCTGCAGGAAGGAAGACACAGCACCAGGGATTTCCCCTGATCTTTAGTTCACACATGTCAAAATGCCCCCCCATTTCTGCATTTGCTCTGTTCAAGTACAATGGAGAAGGGCTTAACAGGCAATGCTTGAGAGACACATGCCCAGAGCCCTAAGCAGCCAGTCTGGACTTCTCCAAACTGCAGACCCTGGGATAAATGCCTCCCAAAACAGGCTGGGGCCCAGCCCAAGCTGCTCCATCGCAGCAGCCTCCTGAGGAACATGCCCACAAGCTGCTGCTGACCTGTTCCCAGCCACATCCAGAACATGAAGCTCGGTGGTGTTGGCCAGCTCCGATGGCAGGAGGGTCAGGCGATTGTCCCGCAAGGACAGCACGTTGAGGTTGGCACAGCCACCGATCTCGGCCGGGAGGGATGTCAGCCGGTTCCGATCCACGTTCAGGTTGGTCAGCTTGGCCAGCTTCCCAAGGGATTTCGGCAAGGCCTAGGGAGGAGATGGCTCAGTAGTTGCCAAAGACAAGAGCAGCAGAATAAAGGTATAAAGGCATAAAGACCTCCAGCTGGGGAAGGGGTGGGGAGAAGCTGCCTTCTGTCCTAACAGACACATCTTTGGTAAGTTCTCGCTAAAAAAATACAGTGAGAGAATTCAGCTTCCTCCAGGGTCTTCTCAAGAAGAAGTTACATGAAACTCTGTGCATCAAAGCAGGTAACGGAAGAGCAGCCGAAATAAGCTTGGGATTCTACTCAGAAGTAGAAGTCTCAGAAGCCAGAAGATGGGAAGAGGTGCCTGGCACGTGTCTGAAGAGAACGGCACAGGAGAGGTGGGGTGGCTGCTGTACTCACCGTCAGCATGTTCTCTGTCAGGATGAGCTCGGACAGATTTTCACAGTCCCCAATGGACTCTGTCACCTCTGTCAGTCGATTCTGGTCCACCTTGAGGATGGAGAGCTGCTTCAGCTGACCTGGCCGGGGCAACAAGTGACATGTGAACTACACACAGAGGTAACGATGCTGTTCTACCTTCGTCTGGCCAGAATGCCTCCCACCAGAGACTGTGTACCCAACAACACAGGCACCACCTTTCTTCCCCAGCAAGGCTGTCCACAGGTTTCACTCATGCGTGATCATAGAATCACAGAACGGTGACTATATAACTCTTGGCATTTTTGCCAGTTGCTAATATTTGTGGCATTAACAGATAAGTTAATTACTTTTCTGTAATTGCTAGTTGACCCTTCTTTGGTCAGAGGATCATGGAATGGTTTGGGTTGGAAGGGACCTTAAAGGCCATCCAGTGTCACCCCCCGCCCTGGGCAGGGACACCTCCCACCAGCCCAGGTTGCTCCAAGCCCCCTCCAACCTGCCCTTGAACCCCTCCAGGGATGGGGCAGCCACAGCTTCTCGGGGCAACCTGGCCGGGCTCTCACCACCCTCACACCAAAGAAGTTCTTCCCCAGATCTCACCTCAATCTCCCCTCTTTCAGTGCCAAACCCTTCCCCCTCGTCCTAGGGCTCCCCTCCCTGATCAAGAGTCCCTCCCCAGCTTTCCTGGAGCCCCTTGAGGGACTGGAAGGGGCTCCAAGGTCTCCCTGGAGCCCTCTCTTCTCCAGGCTGAACCCCCCCAACTCTCTCAGCCTGTTCTCCCAGCAGAGGGGCTCCAGCCCTCTCAGCATCTCCGTGGCCTCCTCTGGCCCCTCTCCAACAGGTCCATGTCCTTCTGATGTTGGTGGCCCCAGAGCTGGAGGCAGCACTTGGGGGCTGTCTCCCCAGAGCAGAGCAGAGGGGCAGAATCCCCCCCTCACCCTGCTGGACATGCTGCTGGGGATGCAGCTCAGGGTGTGGGGGGCTTTCTGTGCCGCCAGTGCACGTTGCCAGGACGTGTGGAGCTTCTCATCCACTAACACCCCCAAGTCCTTCTCCTCAGGGCTGCTCTCTAGCCATTCTCCATGCAAATCAAGAGCCTGAACTCGCCCTGCAGTTCTCCTCACCACTATCATCTACTGCTTCTGCAAGTCCAGTACCATGACTGTGTCCACCAAGCCCTAACACCCTGTGACATACACCTGAAGCCCCCCACCAGATGCACTGCCAGGGTCCCACCCTACTCCCCATCCCATAATACCCACCAATCCCATCAGGAATGCACTCCAACAGGTTCTGCGACAGCAGCAAGTCGGTCAGTGCCACCAGGCCGCTGACCTCGTTGGGCAACTGCTCCAGCTTGTTCTCCGACACATCCAGGCAGACCAGGCGGCGGAGGTTGCCCAGCTCCTAGGATCAGAGAGGAGACACCACGGTTCGAGGGGGCTGCCGGGAAGGGAGTGCAGCGGTGGACAAACAGCCCCAAAGAGGTACTCACGGGAGGCAGGGCTGAGAGCTGGTTCCGGTCTAACCAGAGCTCACGCAGGTTGGGGAGCGCTCCCAGAGTGTCTGGCTGTAACAGAGCAGGGAAGTGACAGCATCAGTCCCTTCCATGGGACAGAAGCTGCTCTAGATGCTACAATCACACCACGCTAGAGACTGTTACTGCTTTCACACCCCCTAGGACCATCCACCAAATGGTTTATGAAGGTGATGTGTTGGTGTGCCTCAATCCAGCAGCACACATGTCTGGAAATGTCTGGGGTGACACAATGGCTGCAAAAGGTGCCAGCAGGAAGGATGGAAAACAGCAGCAGGGACTGTCTGGAAGCAGGAAAGACAGGAACTAAACAGGGTGTTGGAAATTCTGGCCTTACGGAAGAAGTGAGTCTTTTCCTCCTCTCAGACATGAAAACAATTTGGAGAAGACTGGTAAACCCAACACGATGCAGAAGCACCAGCAGCAATGGCAGCCATACGTTCACAGCACCGCTCCAGACACCACGCACAGTGATCAGCATTTGGGTTTGGAGTTAATGAACCGCTGAAGTGCAGTGGCTGATAAGCATTTGGGTTTGGAATTAATGAACTGCTGAGGTGCAGCTGCTGGTTAACCCTTGGGTTTGGAGCTAATGAACCGCTGAAGCACGGTCCTAGCGCCAGACAACTGTCCTCACAAGTTACCCGCAGCCTTGTGCGCAGCACTCGCGTGAGCTGCTCCTTCCGCTCCCAATTTAGGCAGCTTTCTGCCCAAAAGCACTCCAGAACATTAAGAGCAGGACTCAGGAATAGCTTAATCCATTGCTGCAAAACTAAAGAACATCACTGGATGACCCTGAATGTCAAGATAAGCTGAATTTCAGATGAAAAACCACAGGCTTCCACAAAGGTAGGGGGTGCTGCCCCTGTCAACCACCCGTATTACCTCCCCACCACCCCTCACCTACCAGAACCTCCAGGTCATTGCCACCGAGATCCAGCTGCTCTAACTTGACAAGGAAGGACAGCGAGCTGCAAGACACAAGGGGCAGAGAGGGGAAGAGGGAAAAACAGAAAAGACAGAAAGAACAGGAGGTTAGCATCTGGGACACACACCTCAAATCACACAAGTTTTAGTAACTCCTAAACCAGGTGGGGCAATCCTGACCTTCTCCTTCTCCCTCTGAGCCAAGCAGTTTAGGGGAGCTGGCCACTTCCCCAGGCCATTCCATCTGCAGTGGGTTCAGCAGCACCAACAGCCCCAACACACCCAGTTTCCACTCTCACCAATTTGCCTTCTCCCGCTCCCACCATAAAATAAATACAAAATAAAATAATAAAATTTGAGCAAAACCATGACAGGTGAAAAGCCACACTGTAACATCGCTGCCCGTTCTTGTGGCAAGGCTGGGGACCTGGGCACAGACAGACAACAGGATGTCCTGGTTTGATGCCCAAACCATGAGACAGGAGAGAGCCAGCAGAAGACAATACACATGTTGGGGGCGAGGGGAGCAGAGCTGCAGGGAGGGACAGAAATGACAAACTCAACCGTTTCCTCAGTTTCCCCATGCTGGTTAGGAGACCGGGAAGGACAACACTGGGATGATGTCTCAGAAGAGGTGAAGACGTACAGACAAGAAGCTGACGAGGCAAGATACCACGAGAAGCCTGCATGGAACCAAAGCCTCTCAGCTCTGGTGGTCCAAGGATGGGCCCTGAGTCTCCAAACACGCCAAGCCTGCAGTCTGTAACCCCACGGAACCAAGACTATCCAGGTCTCCTGATGGGGCCCAGGGGTCGTCAGCTCCCAGTCCTACCCCATCAAATCCAAATCCCACCTCCCCAAACACTGTGAGTCTCAGCCCTGACGCCTCCCCAGTAAGAGGAGGGTCTGCAGCTCTTATTCTCCTCATAAGGATTATCCCAATACAGAAATCACTAAATTTCTCTGGAAACAGAGCTGGAAATCTCACTGCCATCCGAACTAAGGAGGCTGGGGGTGCAGATCTGTGAGAAAGTAGTAAGAGAGACTTCTCTCGGCTGGGCCAGGCTATAAAAATACTTGGGCTACACAGGAAAGGCAAGTTCTTACCTCATGCAGTGGTGGGGTTTAAGATGCTGCATTAACTCAAGCAAAGGTTTATCAACAGGATCACTGAAAGGTTTCTCTTTATGACTGTACACTTGCACTTTGATTTCTCTGAAGGGTGAAGGAGCCTTTAGTGTCCCTGTGCAGTCTGAATTCCCAAAACAGGGACAAGGGAGCTGCAGAAGCCATGTTGATAAACAAGGTCCTGTAAAATGCCTCAGGATAGATCACCCTCCAGTACTTATAGATCCCAGGTTGGAAGGGACCCCAGGGATCACCTGGTCCAACCTTTCTTGCCAAAGCCCAGCCTAGACAAGCTGGCCCAGCACCCTGAGCAGCTCAACCTTAGATGTGTCCAACACTGGAGAAACCCACCACTTCCCTGGGGAGATCATTCCAATGGCTGATTGTTCTCAGCGCGAAAGATCTTCCTCTTTCTTACATCCAGTCGGAATCTCCCCAGCAGTAACTTGTACCCATCACCCCTCATCTTTTCCATGTGACTCCTTGTGAAAAGGGAGTCTCTGTCTTCTTTGCAGCCACCCTTTAAATACTGGAAGGTGGTGATAAGATAACATGCATTCCCTGAAAATACATCAATAAGAGCTGCCCTTCCCAAATCATTGCGCAAGCTGTGTCCCACCTGCGTGGGAGAGATGAGGAGCGATAATCAGCTGTACACAAGATGAACTGTCTCAGAACTCAGCTGACAGCAGGAGACTCACCAGTAAAATTAAGTTTGGACAAGTGAAGGTCATTGCAAGCTGGACCTTTAAAGCAGCTCAACAATAACAAAAGGGCACTGACGCATTATGGGGTCACAAATTCACAGTGTTGAAGCTCATCTACCTGGTGGGGGCTCAGTAACCCTGAAAACTGAAAGCATCATCCATTTCAATCGGTCATTCTGCTCTTTGGCAAGACAACCTGGACTCGTTTAGAGCCATTCTTGGGCAGAATTTGCCACCAGACAAGTCCGAGAGCTTCAGACCTGGGCAGAGCCCCTGACAGCACCACTAGAATTTCCTTGGTCATTGATTTTGATCTCACATTTCGCTGGCAGATCTGATGAAAATTGCCTTGGCCTTCAAGATCCTCTTTCTGCTTTTGGAAATCGTCCAGAAGTAGAATTTGGGGAACTGAGGAAAGATGAGAAGCAGCTGGAATTGCATTGCAGAATGAGTATCAAGCCTGGACGTATCTTTCAGAGAAAAGCCCCAAGAACTCCTAGCATGCTACAGGTATCTCGCTAGACGGCACACAAATCTAACCTGAGGAAACATGGGAGCACTGGGCAGGAGAGATCTCCCCAGAAACCACAGGGTTTGGTCTCAGACCGAATTCTCAAATTCCAGACACTTGCTGGTTCCCAGACGGTGAAAAGCCATTGGGACCACTCTCCACTGTGGTTTGAAAGCCCAACTTTGGGTGTAGCTACTGCACCTCTGTGTTTATGGGGTGTATCACAGGGGTGGTACCTGGCTGTACAAACACAAAGAACATATGGAACAGGCAGCAGAGGGTCCCAACAGCAGGACCCAACCTTCTCCTGCTCTCAGCCCGGCTCTCACGTTCTCCCCTGGGGCCGTATTCCATGTGGGGCCATCTCAGCTTGTTTAATATCACTTTTCTATGGCAGGGTGTTTGTGCCGAGAACTTCTATGCAGAGAAGACCCAGTGACTTTGGCATGGGAGACAAGGTGACAGCGTTAATTTGAACCCCGCTTCTATGATGTGCAACCACCAGGTGTGAGGCCTAGGAGTGACCAGTGTGGAGTCTTTCAGCCCTTTTCTGGAAGCGTCGTGTCCTCTGGGTCAAAGCTGACATGTGAATTCTACACGACGATAGAACTGATGCCGTGTAAAGCCTGAACTGGCAGGTCCCAGAGGAAAATAACCACCCGGAGGAGCATGCACCTAAGTCAAAGCAACATCCCACAGCGAGGCCACCACAGAAGCACAAAGACTAAAGCCTTCCCTGCTCAGGGGCTCAAAGCCTGGCTTTAATTCTCTATCACTGATACCTCCCTGTGCCCTCTTTTTTTAAATAAAGCAGAGGAGCAAGGGAAGAGAGTACAGGCAGTCAAAGTGAATACTTGCCATAAACAATAAGAGGGCTCTGAGGAAAGGTGACAGTAGCCACGTGTTTCACACAGTCACTGAGGAGTTTGTGTGGCCCCAAAACACACTGCTCTTCAAAGAAGTCAGGGAGAATCCCTTCCAACGTATTCAAGGAAGACTGGGGGAATCATCAGTTGGATGGGTAAGCAGGCAGAAAACAGGCTGACAGAGCTAACGTAGGATAGAAAACTTTACAAACAACGCTCACGGGCTCCAAACCAGAGATTAAAGCAGAAACTCGCTAGTTCTCTACATCCTCTCTACCCGATAGCACCAGCTGTACCAACCAGATCCTCTCCAGGAGTTCATCCCTGTCCCTAACCCTCTGAAACATTTTCCAAGACTTACCTCTTCTCCCTTGCGGGCTCATTTTTCGTCTGCTGCAGGAAGGCCCGTTATCCCACCCATCCCCACAAACTGCTCTGCCAGAACAACCGGACGGGATAACCAAGAACACAGACAAGCCAGAAGCAAAACAGACCCTCAGCCGTATCCTGCTGCTCTTCAAAAAGCGCACTGCATACAGAGTTCCTTCTACACCCACATCAGTACATTTTTCTCTCTTTTTCCAAAAGAGCACATTGTATGCTGCACCTCTCTAAGAAAAAGGGTTCTCACCATTTCCAGCAGCTTTCTCGTGGAAACCTACTCCCAAGTCAGCCCTGACACAGAGGTCGAGCACAGACTCTGGACATCCCCACCTGCTCGTAAGCCCTGAACCATCTCTCTCTCCCTCCTCACCCCGATTTACAGAAATTCATCAAGATGCAGCTGATTTATGCAAAGCCTTGAGCCCTCCCAAGAGAGGTGCAAGAGCCTGTACTGCAGAAACAGCGAGTCCCTGAGGAACCAGTAAGAACGACAAGTCAGGACACTCCTGAGGCCACCAGACAGACACTCACGTGGGGAGAGTCTTTAGCAGGTTCTCGCGTAGCTCCAGAGTCACCAGGTTTGCCAAACTGCAAGAGAAAAGGGAGCAAGAAAGCCAGATTCACTGGGAGCTGCCCAAAGCCCTTCCCGTGGGACCACCCCTGCGCAGATGGACAAATGGGAATGGAGATGGTCGGGGAAAACAAAACACACAGAGAGGATCTTAAACGGCTTCTGATGAAGGTGATTGCATATTGCAAAATCACGGGGAAACAACACTGTACCCAGACTCAGGACAAGGAAACGTGGAATCACACACAGGACTGGCTGCCCAGAAAGATAAAATCCCTCACGGGTAGAAAGCCAAATCCCAGGGGTAGGAACTGCACCCCACGGGCTTTGCCGTGGCCGTTTGTTAGCAGCATAAACCATCTCAACACCATCGGACAGACCACCTCTGGTGGACAGGGGCCAACGGGCACTCGTGGAATAAGGAAGAAGAGGGTCTGAGAAGCCTGGATGTACTCCTTGCCTGTGCCAGAGACCACAGAGGGGGAGACACAGCCCAGACCCAGAAAAGAACCTTTTTAAAAGGTTGCTTTTTAACAATCTTATGCTTAGGGGTGCTCACATGGCGTGGCCAGTATGGTGGCAGGCTGTAACTGGGACGTCACACTCTTCCCTCCAAGCCCTGCTGGTGCTGCCAGCTCGACAGCGCGGTGTCCCCTCCCCAGCCCTCCTCCCCGCTGTGACAGCAGGGACATACTCACTTCCCAATGTCACTGGGGAGGCTCTGCAGGGACACATCATTCAGGGCCAAATGGCCCAGGCTCCGAAGCTGCGTGAAGCCCTCGGGAAGCCTGTAAAAGCATGACAGAACAAACCACCGTTAACTCTGTGCACAAATTCCCTAAATCCCTCACTCAAATCCCCCAAAAGCCAGTTTTAGCCCAATCGGTATCAACATGTGGAAAGAAGAAGAGCAGGAACCAAGTGTGACCCCAACTCCTGATCTGGGATATGCCCCGTTTCCAAGACAATACTCCCTTGCACCAGAACCACTCTGTGTCCAAGCGTGTGAACTTGGCACTGCAGGGCTCAAGCACGAGCCCCAGACCCAATAATTTCATGTGATCACTTGAATTTGGGAGCAGGGAAAGCTGCCAAGGAATCCAAGTGCCCCTCTAAGGATATTTCTGCAGGTGGCACCACAGCCTTCCCTGGGACCAAGTGGTACCATTGTGACAGCCCCAAGGTGCAACAGAAGACAGAAAGCCCCAAGAAAAGGAGAAATCCTTTGCTCTTCACAGGCGGTTCCTGGATCCTCCCTGCCCCACTGCTCACCACACGCATTTTACAACTCTAGGCCACTAAAAGTCTGACAAATAAGTTCTAGTGTGGAAGTGCTGGTCATTCCTGTGGTACCAGGACTCTCTCGAGTGAGGAGCTTGTACCGTTGTGGCGCCACAAGGGGGAAGCAGAGAGTTAAATCGATCTAAAGGGTGACACGGGCAGCGCCCGCCCAGGAGCAGGAATCTGGAGGTGTCAGGGGGACATCTACAGGGACCCTGACAGAGAACAAAGAGGACCACAGGAGGGGTGGGGAAGGACTCTTGATCATGAAAGGGAGCCATAGGAGGAGGGGGAAGGGTTTGACACTAAAAGAGGAGAGATTTAGGTGAGATCTGGGGAGGAAATTCTTCACCCCAAGAGTGGTGAAACCCTGGCCCAGGTTGCCCCGAGAAACTGTGGCTGCCCCATCCCTGGAGGGGTTCAAGGTCAGGTTAGAGGGGGCTTGGAGCAACCTGCTCTGGTGGGAGGTGTCCCTGCTCAGGGCAGGGGGTGGCACTGGGGGGGCTTTAAGATCCCTTCCCACCCAAACCATTCCATGATTCTACAACAGCAGTGTCTGAAAGCACAGGTCTCCAAGGCAGAGGAGCCACGAGTAAATTCCCAAAACATCATGGATTAAGAGCTGTGGAGACAAAAAACTGAAGAGACAAGGCCAAGAACCCTGTTCTTGGACACAGCTCTGGGCACTGAGATACCAGGGAACCTGACCAAATGCAGAGTGCAAAGGATGGTCCTTCCCAAGTTATAAATCTGATGACAGAGAGCAAAAAGGACTTTTTTCTGCTCCTCTGGGGTACAACCAGCCCACATCCACTCCGGTTCATCCATCAGGGTAAGGGGTGGGGAGGGAGCAACAAACTTTCCCCAAGAGGACAAAGTCCTCACCCTTCACACCAGTGGCAGGAGAATGACCAAAGGCTCCTCAATCCAAGCCCTTCAGAAGAGGGAGCACAGACCAGCTCCTCCCTGCGCTGAGTGCTCCACCTCAGGAGAGCAGACACCTGCAGGTCTTGGCAAAGGCGTGATCCTTCCCTTGATTCCAAGGGAGGACAATTACAAGATGAGGACCAGAGAATGCCCGGGAGAATGAGGAACTTCAACTTCAGGGTTGCATGTGTGTTCCTACCTGGAGAGAGGATTCCCACTGAAGTCTGCGATTTCCAAGGATTTGCAGAATTTGATGCTTTCAGGAATTTCTGGAATGTCTGGAAAAAAATACGTGAAAGATAAGAGGCTCAAAAGTAGCGTGTCATGTGGAAAACGGGGAATCAGGTGCTGGTGACAGCCTAAGAAACTGTAAGACAAACGTGAGGCCCACAAGAGGTCACTCTGCCGGGCCATGAAAGGGCGCTGCCCCTTCCAGAACATGAATGGCATGTTCTACCATGCAGGAGAAGCAGAACTGTGGGGCACCCATCCCCATCCCCATCCCGCTCTGCCCTTACCGTTACGGGAGATGTCCAGTTCCACCAGCTGCATGAAGTTGGCCACCTCAGGGGGAAGTCTTTGGATCTCATTGTCACTCAGGCCCAGCTTGCGCAGGTTCAGAAGCCTGAAGAAAGGCTGTGACAGGAGAGAAGGAAACTGGGTCAGCAGCAGCTCTGTGGGAACGTGTCTTCTCACCCCAGGGCAAACCTGAGCATCAGGACATCAGTGATGGGTCCCTATGCCAACGGGGAAAGCGTTTGTGCCACTCGTAGCAGGAAATAGAACAGGGCCCAAGTAATGAAGAATTAGAGACAAAAATTCCTTTCTAGAAACACCACAGTCAGGGAAACGTTTACAGGAAGGGGCCTCTAGAGGTCTCCTGGTCTAACAGCATCCAGCATCTTCACACCTACCCTTTTCCTCAGAAATCAACTGTATGAGCTATAAACAGTAAATTACAAGATTCATCCATCATACTCTTTCTAGACACCAACAGCCTCTCCATACGTTTACTAAACACAATGTGCTAGAATTATGAACTGAACCAATCTCGCAGCTGCTTCTAACTATTGTGGGAGGTGGGACATGGGACAGGACGGAAACCCAGGTTGTGGCATTGGCCGCATTTCCTGCGGGGTTTCAGAGTGCCCCGGAATAACAAACAAACAATATCAGGCCAGAAAACGGGAGATGTTTAAGGAGGTTACACATAACCGCAAACAAGGAGAGGCAGAGACTATGGCACAGACCCAAAGCAATGCCGTGTCTCTGGTGGTGTGTCTGGGTGACCACACCGAGAAGGACCAGACAAGAGCTTGAGCTCTGAACCTTCTTCCTCAGTTGCCTTTCAGTAATCCATCTCCATCAAAGGCTGGACCTCCCTCCCCAGGAACTGCTGCGGGGAACCGAGGTTTGTTCTGGCTGGGGGTGGAGTGTGGTGGTGCAGACCTGCCTGGGCCACATCGAGGTGATGGGACCAGCCAACGTCATGTTCCTGTCTTGGTCCCTTGGGCTGGGACCATCTGGCACTTCCTTATCTCGGTTGCAAGTGCAGTGAGTTGGGACAACTGGGCACTTTCTTGTCCTGATCACAAGTGCAGTGAGTTGGGACCATCAGGGACCCCCTCCCCTTATTCGGACCTCCTGCTGCCTAGGTTGAAGCTCCTCCGGAAGGCTCCAGAATTACCTGACAAGAACCGTGGCCAAAATGGAGACACAATGACCAAAGTCAATCATCTCATGATCCCAGGCGAGACCCTTTGAGCCCTGCGGGATCAGAGCAGGGGCTGACCCCGTGTCCCCCCAGTGGGACACCTCTGGGTGGATTTCCTGAGGATATTCAAGTGTAGATTTTGCAAGGATTTCACAGATAGTTTACTGACAAGTGCCAAGGAAGGAAAAGAGCCAGTAATTCACGCTACTGGATTTCTTGAGGTTTCAAAGATTGTCTGGCACCAATAATTTACTACTTTTTGCAAAAAGAGAAACATCTTAATTATACAGGTTAACCCCTGTATCTGTGCCTGTTTGAGCATGCTTTGATTTGATTTAGGAAACTCTGAACAGGAGGAGTGCTCTGGGATGAACAGCAGGGACATGACATTCACACTCCTGATGTCCTGAAGTTGGACAGGAGCCCATTATCAGCAGAATAAGTTAAAAAAAAAAGAAAAAGTCCTCTTGACACTGAGCAGCACAAGTTCTTTTTAATTCAGTTTATCTAATGCAAATCAGTTCAGTAAGAAGGGAAGTAGGTGAAAGTCTAAATGACAACAAAGGTTCAGGCCAGAGCAGGAGGTTCAGAGACGTGATTTGCTATTGTTTCCTAGAGCCTTCTCCTAATTTTAGAATGCAAGGAAATTCCAGGCAAGACATTGTGCTGACCCGCCAGAGCCTACACGTCGGGAAATAACAAAGGGAGCGGAACATCCACAGCCCGCACTCCCAGCACTTCTGCCGACAAACTGCAGCCAGTCTCAAAATACATGTGCACACTTGTTCAAAAAAAAAAACCAACCAAAACACCCAAACCCAACAACCTCTTAGAATAAACTGGAATAAAATCATGTCAGATGCTGCACTGCAAGATATATGGGAAGTGTTTATTGGGACAATAGAGATTTGAGAGCTAATTATCGGTGGGGCAAACTGGTTGCTGTGAACATCGACTTCAGTTTTGCCTACTGTTAAGTTTTACTTTCTCAGCTCGCCCATCAAAAGCAAAACACTGCCCTTCAGCTCTCAGCAGCCGTGTCTGCACAGTTTATTGCCATTTCACAGAACCAACTGCATTGCTTTTACCAGCACAGAGACATCTACTAAAGAGGATGTTCCAAAATACCCTGCTCTGTACGCTACTTTTTTATAGCAGTTAAACAGCACTTTTTCTCCCCCAGCTTTTCCTTTTTTTAAATAAAAAGGTAACCAAAAACCTCCAGCAGCTCACAGAGCCAGGCTATGATCAGGTCCGTGCACAAATTCCCACTCGGCAAACAGCATGACAACAGGATCAGCACATCCCGCTTCCTCCGTCAGTTAAGCTGGACTTGAGTTAAATACTTGGATGTGACAGAAATTCAAACTAGTCAAAAGTCATCAGTGGAGGCCACAAAACACAAATGCAGAATTACAGTCTTCCCATGCAAGAACTAAGATTTTATATTTGCAAATAAAAAAAGAGAAAGTTGAGCAGAATGCAGGTGAGCCACCACCTCCACTCTGACTAGAAAAACCTCTTGTTAATTGTTAGGTACTTACTGACTCCCCGTCACTAACCCACAGCAACAGGATGGGGCCAATGAAGTGCTGCTGGAGCACAGATACACCAACACAACTTTATTTTCCCTCAACAGGCTGCTCTGCTCCTGAATGTTTTTCCTACAGCAGCACAAGGACCTTGGCCACCCTGTGCCCATAACCAGTCCCAATCCAGACCACTCTGTGACAGCACCACATGCGACACAAAGTCAAACTCAGAGGCCCGTTTGCATAACCCCATAAAAAGCCTCAAACGAACCTTTTTGCTGTTGCCAGGCAAATACTGAAGTGTGCAACCAACATAAACAGTGGAAGAGAACCACCAGAACTTTAGGAGACCCCTGACTGTGACAAACATTGCACAGTTAAACCAAACCAGTCGCTTGGAAGCTACACTTGGGCCAGTTAAACATCTGCCCACTATAATTAACAGGTTGGGTTCCCAAGAAACTCCAACTGAGCACCCTGAGCTACTCACTCTGCTCCTGTTGGACACAGGACACTTGTCAGCCAGGTCCAGGCAACCACTAGAAAGACTTTACTTCTGTCTTAACGACGACCGATGCCTCAGTGACTTCAGAAAAGCCACCTCAGCAGTGAAATGTGATGATACAGGCAGAAGTGAGAAAGGATGTAAACCCAGCACAATTATTAATGAACCTCCTGATTCACACCACTGCCTTTGGAGTAACTTTATAGGGGAAAAATATCTATTATCTAATTTTATGGAAGAAAAACGTATCAGGCTAATAGAGCAGAATCAGCACTGACGGTCAAAGCCATCATCACTGCGAAGGGGAAGAAACGTCAGCTTCACACTGCAATGTTAGGACCAGCTGAGCAGAGCCCCCTGGCCTCGGGGCACTCATCTCCAAGGGTTAGTGCAGCTCTGCCCAGGGAACACCTCCCGACAGCACCCTGCTGAGGTTATCCAGAGACACGGTAACAGGCTCAGCCAGTTTATGGAAACGAGAAACACTGGTAGCAGCAAACCCAGGCTGCGTTTGGCAGTCACCTTCGGCTTCTGCTGAGGAAGTGAAATACCTGTGTATTGAGAAAGCCCTGGGCTGCACATATTGACCAGGAGGCACCACCGACCTGGGGCACACTTCTGTGCTGAGATGCCCGACATGCCACTTTGCAGAGTTCTCACCCAGTGAGACCCAAAAGCACATGTGGAGCTCATTACACATTAAGTGTTTTGCCGGCACTTAATTAAGAAGCCGGGTCAGCCCACGGCTGTGGCTGAGGGCGTGCTCTTGCCTGGGAAAGCGGAGCAAGCCCAGGGAGCAGGAAACTCTCACCCGATGTAGAAATGAGCTCCTGGCCTTGTATCCTCAACATGTCACGACAGCTCTCCAGATGGGTGGCACTAGAGGTGGTGCCGCCAAAACTGAGAGGGAGATGCCAAACTCCTGAATAGAGGCCAGAGTCTGACAGTCCCTGTGTCCCTTCCTCACCCATTACGTGTCCAACCCCAAAACTGGCTCCATTGGCCACCTTGAGTGAGGGACACAGATTTCCGAATACAGCAGTTCTCTCAAGAAAGCATTTTGCATCACAGAGGTAGGTCCAGCAGAACCAGGGAATGTCTGAGGCTGGAAGGGATCTCTCAAGCCAGTCCAACCTCTGCTCAAAGCAGGCCCAGCTACAGCAGGTCACCCAGGGCTGCGTCCACTCAGGTTTTGAGTATCTCCAAGGATGGACATTCTGCAATCTCAGCTGGGCAACACGTTCCAGTGTTTGAGCACCCCTTCAGAGACAAAAAAAAAAAAAAAAAAAGTGTTTCCTTACATTTAAACAGAATTTCCTCTCTTTCACTCTTGTCCTGCCACGGGACACTACTGAGAGGATTCAGGCTCCATCTCCTTTGTTCCTTGACATTATACACATGTTGGTAAAATCCCCTGGGGCCTTCTCTGCTCCAGGCTGAACAGTCCCAGCTCTCTCAGTCTCTCCCCGTGTCAATGATGCTCCAGTCTCTTAATCATTTGTGGCCTCGTGAAGGACACGCTCCTCTCTGTCCATGTCTTCCCTGCACTGGGGAGCCCAGCGTGGACACAGCCCTCCAGACATGGTTTCACCAGTGCAGAACAGTGGGGAAGGATCACCTCCCTTGACCTGCTGGAATCACTCTTCCTCACTGCTGATCAATCTGTGGTCCACCAGCATCCCCTGCTTTTCGGGTGGTCTGTACTGGTGTGAGGTTATTCCTCCCCAGGCTCAGAAATCAGCATGTCCCTTTGCTGAACCCCATGAGAAGCCCCTTGGCCCATCTTTCCAGCCTGCCAAGGTCCCTCTGCGCAGTGGCACAACGCTCCAGCCCAGGCAGAGTCACACGCAGGAGGCACACACACAGCAAAGCTAGAAAGGGCCCT